CCAAGCCCCTACGAGCCCCATCATGGTCGCGGCAGAGGTCGGTCCTGTCTGCGCTCCTCCTCCCGGGCCTGGGGACGCTCTCCTGGGGCAGGAGTAGCTCCGGGGGGTTCTGGTCTACACGTCCCCAGCCGATCGCAGCAAGGACAGATTGGTTTGGGCCTGGAGGGACGTCTCTTTGCAGCAAGCTCATGATCTGGGGCTGGCCTAGGCGCCCAGAGCCCACGAGCCTAGTGTGCAGCTAGAGCACGCCCTGTGTGGCCTCAGGACTCTGGGGGAGCTCCGTCCAGGCACCACGGGCTCCTCCACTCAGCAGTTCCCGTGGGTGGAGCCACAGTCCCCGGACCCCACGGCCTGCTCTGAGACCCCTGCATCTTGGCCAGGAGGAGTCACTCTACCCCACAGAGGAGGCATCGGGGCTCATCTTCCCAGGCCAGGCCAGAGGCTCCTCCCAGGGGTCCTCAGGGAAGGGGCAGGGCGCACTGTCTCAAGAGAGTGTGTGTACACATGTGAGTACGCGTGTGTGCATGTGTGCATGTGTAAGCTTGCACACACACGTGGCTATGAGTGACCACGGTGCTGAAAGCCAGAGAATGCTGTGCGAGGACAGCCGTGCAGGCGAAGAGGGCGCGCTGGCGGGCGGCGTGTGCGTCGGGAGCTGCGTGCGCGTCGGGAGCTGTGTGCTCTGACCCTCGGCAACCCCACGGGAATGACCTGTTGGCAGGTGGGGAGCAGAGGAGGGCACCACACTGAGAGAGCCACGGCATGGTACCTGCTTCAGACTGAGTTTAAGGCAGGGGGGCGCGAACGCCGGCAGGTGGGGAAGTGCGCTAACTCACATCTGAAATGCCACTTCCCCAGCCTCGCCCCCTTCGCTATCCCCCGCGGCCGCTCCAGATGACCAGGCGTGTTCCTTTTCTAATGCCCAGGTGGCTTCTTAGAGGACACTGCAGTGTGTGAAGATACTGACTTGCTGGTTGGCCCTCAGCGGAGGGAACTCGGGCTGGCCTCAGCGGCAGGCCTAAGGGCCCGTGTATGGGAACCACAGGTGAGAATCGCCTCCTGTTAAGGCCAAGTATGGAAATAAGACAGAAGCGAAACAAAAAGCAGATGAAATTGTGAAGAAAAAGCCTAGCAAATTATTGTACTATAAATATGCCCCCAACCAGCCCTGCCACCAGAAATCTCCAGAAATGAAGAGCTGCAGAGAATAAAGCAAATCAGGAAATTCACATTCATCAGATATTGAAACATTCGGTCAAAATTCTCATCGGAATTTAAATGCAAAGTGGCCAAAATTTCTTAAACTTAAAAAGTGAAAGCTTTAAAAACATAGTTTAAAAATATGTTAACAAATAAATGAATAAAAGAGATATAAACAGCTATGAAAATACTTCAGTGCAAAGGCAATTTTAAGATTCCTAAAAAAATACATTACAAATAATTTGTTAACTAAACACACGGAGAACCTGTCCCCTACAGGTGCACGGAGTAGGGAGTGGGCCCCTGGAAAGGGCTGGAAACACGCACACGCCGCCGTCCGCGGGGCTGGCGAGGAGGATGGGCTGCCAGGCGCAGACCGAGGCGGCGCTGCGGGACAGGGCAGGGCAGGCGGGCATGTCCGGAGCTGCCCTCCTGCGCCGGTCTGCGTGGTGCCGACACAGGTCCCCTCATCTTTGGTATGGGTCACTCTCACGTGGACGCTGCCCGCCGTGTCTGCCGCTCACGTTCATTGATCTCACGGTGAGACAGACTGTGCATCTGATAGCCCAACACTGTGTACCGTCAGGCACCCCAGAGGAGCCTCGGTGACCATGCGGGCCGGGTGCCCACGGGCCTCGACGCCTGCCCGACACTTTCCTCAGAAGGCATCAGTGTCGTGTGACGTTGGAATGTCAAACTGAAGCGTCTTCTCTCCGGACCATTAAGGCCACGTCGACAGATTAGTTCCGAAGCAGAGACGCTGCGCAGGGAGCAGAGAGTCACGCCACGGAGCCTCATGGGCCTGCCCCGGCAAACACCAGTGACAGGAGGGGACAAGCCCAGGGAGGTGCAGAGCAGGCCGCAGGGCCCGCTGCCGTGAGCGCTGGAAGATGGACAGCTGTCTGATACAGCTCACTCGGACGATGGCCACGACCCAGTGGCTGCCTTTCACTGGGGACAGCTGGGGTCCGACTAGCACAGCCAAGTACCTGCCCTGGCGCCCCTGGTACCCCTGGTGCCCCTGCCCTAACCCGTGAAATAGAAACACTCAGGCACCTCAGTGTCCCAGCGCTTCTGCTGGGAGGTGCGACCAGTGTCACCTCCTCCTGTCACGTGGGACTTCCTCCTCTGCAGAAGCAGCCGGTGGTAGGGAAGGGGCCCCAAACCCCAGAGCCTCGACATCCAGGGTCAGCGTCTCCTCAGCAAACAGACTCAGCCTGCAGGAAATGCCCATGCCCGAGAGAGGGCAGGTAGGACAAGGCCAGGCCACGAGTGTGGACGTGTCCCTGTGACCCGAGGGCTGGACGTGGCCTCAGCCAGAGGGGAACTTGGGATCCTTGAGGAAGACCAGAGACAACCACACCTCAGTTCACAGTGGGCAGGCGACTTCTGCTGTGGACGGTGTGGGCCACCACACGGCTCTTCTCTGAGACCAGCCGACAGGACAACCTGGGTAACGCAGGCACGGGCCTGGGCCTGGGCACAGGCAGGGTGCAGCCACCATAAGGCCCTGCTCTTGGTGGACAGCGAGTGGTGACAACCTCGGGGGTGCCGACCTGGGGGTGGGCGCAGGCAGGCCAAGCAGAGTGTCCTTCCTCAGTCCAGCAGGTGCAGCACCACTGGGCCTGGGGACAAGTGGCACTGCAGTGCTCCGTCCACGTCATGCCCGTGTGCTCGGGCCGGGCTCGGCCTCGCCGTATCAGGACCGGCTGATGGGACTCAGAGTGCGGCTCTGCAGGGCGGGCCATCCTCACACGGGGGTCTCCAGACCGGCCCCTCGGTGGCGGCTGCTGCGCGAGGCGGGGCCGCCGCCCGGGGGTTCTCCAGCCCGCCCCCTCGTTGCCGGCTGCTGCGCACGCTGGGCCGGCAGCCATCGTAGGAAAGCCCCAGGAGCGGCGGGAGCAGCGCGCGCTCCTCGCTCTTCCAGCACACGCTTGTCAGCTTCTTAGGGGTGCGGCCGCGCCGGGCGGCCAGGGGCTGGTGGCTCTGACAGCCTGGCCCTCGCAGAGAGGCCAGGGAGGTGGGCTCTGCAGCGTGGTCCCCAGGCTGTGCGCACGCTTTCTGCTGAGAGAGGGGACATGCTGTCAGCTGGGTACCTCCCGGGGGCGCCCCGCACCAGTCAGCCCCTTGCAGGGTGCTAACCGCTGCCCCCACAAGCCTGCTGCGCACTCTCGGGCCACCGAGTCCTCCCTGAGGACAGGCTGGTGACCCTGCCCAGAGCGGCCACATAGAGGTGGGCATGTCTCTGAGGCCTTCCCTTTACGGTAACTGTAGGGTTCCCGTCCTGCCGTCCCAGGGGTACACAGAGGAGGGTGGGGTCAAGGTGAGGGCTGGTGACACACAGGCTCCTTCCTGGACCCTCACACTGTGCGGGAAGGCCTGGCCCAGACCCACATGGGGTCTGGGTGGGGAGGGCCTGCGTTGGTGTCCCAGGGCATGCATGCCGCCACCCGAGCAGCTGGGGAAGGGGCAGCTGATAGCGTGGAGACTGGCAGTGCCCTCCCTGGAGAAAATAAACGGAAACAAAAGTCAAAAACAGGCCGAGCTGCCACCGGGGAAGACGGGACCTGCCTGTGCCCGCTGTGCCCTGACCACCCCCGATCCATCACCCGCAGCCCACGGCGCCACCCGCACAGGTAGACAGCCGGCACAGCTCCTGGCCACAGCCACGCGGCCCGTCCTGATGGCCTGGAGGGGCCAGGTGTGGACGTTTTGGTGACTGACAGCCCCAGGAGACTCTCTGCAGGGGGAGAGCTGTCAGCAGGGGTCTGTCAAACCTATGAGGCCTGGTTGGAGACTCTCAGCAAGGTTGCCCTTACCAGCCCTGCGCCACTGGCACGGATCGGGGCAGCACGACCGGCTAGAGCCCGGGGCTCATGCCGGTGTCTGCCTGGGGCCTGGCTCAGTGCAGACCATGCACCTCTCGCCTCGGTGCCCCTGTGGAACCGCTTGGCGGCTGTTCCCAGTGAGGAAGGACGGGGCCGTGCCACGTGGGCATGGCGAGCCGTCGGCAGCAGCTCCCTCGGGCACGGCACTTACCTGGGACGGCAAACGCGTGTGTGGGTGTGAGGGGTCTGCTCGCTTTCACCACCAACCTTTGTCCTCCAGACCCACAGCACAGCAAAACTTTGGAAGAAAGGGGACAGTCCACACGGTCACCGCACACGGGCCGGCGCCTGCGGCCTGCCTGTCGTTACCTAGTGCTGCCTAAGCCCGCGTGGCCGTGGGAGGTCCTGCAGGAGGGGCCGGTCGCTGCCGGGCGCGGCCCTGGCCGCCGCGCGTCTTGTGCTCTTCTGCAAGGGCAGGAAAACACTGAGCCAGCTGTGGCCTCGGGGCGCAGCAGGCGACAGTGGGCGGTGCCCCGTGCCGGGACGCGAGCTGCTCCCGGCCCACGACCAGGAAGTCGCAGAGCCCGCACGCACTGCCACGGGGCTGGGGCTGGCAGTGGGCGCCGCAGCTCCCAGGAAAGCGCACCCTTCCTAACAGGGCTGATGGCGGGAAGAGGCCTCACTGAGATCTGATGGCCCTGGGCTCAAAGGGCGGGCCACGGCCAGGGCAAAGCGGGGTCCGAGTGGGCCTCGAGCGGACACCCTGCTGTGCCCTCGTGCCCTGACCGGCGTGCCCATCAGCAGGGGCGTCCGGCGGACACCCCAGCTGTGCCCTCGTGCCCTGACCGGCGTGCCCATCCGCAGGGGCCTCCCGGATCCGAGCAGCACGACAGGAACGAGAGGGCTGAGGAATGCAGGTCTGGGCGGGCAGGCGCCCAGGTGAGAGGGAGGACAGGACAGGGTGCGGCCGCCGCCTTCACGGGAGAGGACGGAGGACTGCAGAGATGTCAGTGATACGCAGACAGACAGGGAGGTCACACATGTATAATGCACATGTCACATGTGTACACACGCATGTGCATGTATCATATACATGCCTGGTCCATGGCATTTCTCCTTAATAGGAACAGAGTAGGGAAACCATGTAAGAGGCCCGTGTCCCACACAGGCCTGCAGAACGCCTGTCCCTCCAGGGCTCCTAGGGTGCTGGCCGCTCAGCAGCCGGGGGGTCTGGTCTGCGATGTCAGGGGGTGTGTGAGGCGTGGTGCCTGGGCCGCTCCACCCAGGCGCTCAAGGCCTGGCAGCGGAGACCCTAGGGATACCTTCTCCAAGCAGCGGGAGCCTAGGCCAGGCCCACGGAGGGAGGTGCACTGGTGGCTTGGATGCACACGCCAGTCCAAGTGCCTCACACGGACCCTGAGACTCCCGCTCTCACCCGAAATGCTTCGAGTGTGCAAATGGCCCGATTAAGCCGTATTTGTCCTGCCCAGTCTGCTGCAGCGGATTAGACGTGGCATTGCCGTCAGTCACCAGACTTAGGACCTGCATGGCCTTGCTAGCCAAGTCACGGTTCAAAGGGTACGGCCAATGGCTGCAGCAAGGGGAGGCCTTGTGCGAGCCACTGCCTGGCTGAGGAACTGCACGGGGAGACCCAGGGCCCAGTGTGCCTGCTGAAGCCCAGTTCTGGGACACGCACTTGCAGCCCTGGGACGGGGACAGGTCATGATCTTGGGACCTGCTCAGAGCCCTGGGGTCCTGGTCCTGGGTGAAGAGGCTTTGATTGTGAGTAGCTACCACAGAAAAGCACCACGTGACAGGGCACTCCAGGGCTAAGAAAACTACATTGGTTTTCCTAAGAACAATCAGATCTTTAAAAAGAAAAATGAAAAACGGGACCAGCAAGTGGCATGGTGGTTAAAGTGCTGGACTCCCACACGACCTACCAAGGTTCAAGTCCCAGACCTGGTAGCTTACTTTCTCCCCAGGAAAGCGCACCCTTCCTAACAGGGCTGATGGCGGGAAGAGGCCTCACTGAGATCTGATGGCCCTGGGCTCAAAGGGCGGGCCACGGCCAGGGCAAAGCGGGGTCCGAGTGGGCCTCGAGCGGACCCCCAGCTGTGCCCTCGTGCCCTGACCGGCGTGCCCATCCGCAGGGGCCTCCCGGATCCGAGCAGCACGACAGGAACGAGAGGGCTGAGGAATGCAGGTCTGGGCGGGCAGGCGCCCAGGTGAGAGGGAGGACAGGACAGGGTGCGGCCGCCGCCTTCACGGGAGAGGACGGAGGACTGCAGAGATGTCAGTGATACGCAGACAGACAGGGAGGTCACACATGTATAATGCACATGTCACATGTGTACACACGCATGTGCATGTATCATATACATGCCTGGTCCATGGCATTTCTCCTTAATAGGAACAGAGTAGGGAAACCATGTAAGAGGCCCGTGTCCCACACAGGCCTGCAGAACACCTGTCCCTCCAGGGCTCCTAGGGTGCTGGCCGCTCAGCAGCCGGGGGGGTCTGGTCTGCGATGTCAGGGGGTGTGTGAGGCGTGGTGCCTGGGCCGCTCCACCCAGGCGCTCAAGGCCTGGCAGCGGAGACCCTAGGGATACCTTCTCCAAGCAGCGGGAGCCTAGGCCAGGCCCACGGAGGGAGGTGCACTGGTGGCTTGGATGCACACGCCAGTCCAAGTGCCTCACACGGACCCTGAGACTCCCGCTCTCACCCGAAATGCTTCGAGTGTGCAAATGGCCCGATTAAGCCGTGTTTGTCCTGCCCAGTCTGCTGCAGCGGATTAGACATGGCATTGCCGTCAGTCACCAGACTTAGGACCTGCATGGCCTTGCTAGCCAAGTCACGGTTCAAAGGGTACGGCCAATGGCTGCAGCAAGGGGAGGCCTTGTGCGAGCCACTGCCTGGCTGAGGAACTGCACGGGGAGACCCAGGGCCCAGTGTGCCTGCTGAAGCCCAGTTCTGGGACACGCACTTGCAGCCCTGGGACGGGGACAGGTCATGATCTTGGGACCTGCTCAGAGCCCTGGGGTCCTGGTCCTGGGTGAAGAGGCTTTGATTGTGAGTAGCTACCACAGAAAAGCACCACGTGACAGGGCACTCCAGGGCTAAGAAAACTACATTGGTTTTCCTAAGAACAATCAGATCTTTAAAAAGAAAAATGAAAAACGGGACCAGCAAGTGGCATGGTGGTTAAAGTGCTGGACTCCCACACGACCTACCAAGGTTCAAGTCCCAGACCTGGTAGCTTACTTTCTCACTTTTCCTTTCTCTTTGTTCAAATTAAAATAAGTGAATGAATAAATAAAATTAAATACATAATTAAAAAAAATAAACAGATTAGGTGAAACATTTGACAAAGTACCGACTCCCCCACGTCACTGGTTTTGCAGAGCCTGGCCTGGGCGCCACGTGGGGCCCTGAGCAGGCCACGTCCCACTGCCCTCAGTCTCCCCCTGCAGAACGGGAGCGGGTGTGGTGGTGAGCAGGTCCTGCACCCTCCTCCACGGGCTGCGTGGAGAAGGTAGCCCTGGGGCACCTCCACCTGCGGCCGGTACGAGCTGTGAGCTGCACCCTCCTCGAGTGCGCGGGTCTGCCACGTCAGCGGGGCAGGTGCGGGGCAGCTCCTAGGC